CAATTATTTTTGGCTAACTCATTCTCAAGAACAGGACCAGTAGCTATTCAATAATATTTTTTCTTATTAAACCAAGCTTAATGGTAAAACTTAAACAGAGAAGACAAGAAACACTCACCATTTCCAGTAGAATCAGTGTGAGGAGAGCGCTAACGTTAGCTAGCCGCGCTAGCTAACAGATGTCAACGCAAATCGATATCGCTCTACAAAAGAGAAAGTTTAATTTCCGCAGCTGAGTGACAATCTGGCCTTGTCGGGTGACGATCTAATTTTAGCGACACAAAAAACTGTGAAACTCCCAGCTAGCTGCCGTTAGGCAAATCTGTAAAGTCCTGAGCTAGCATTATAACATACAACAATACGAATCTAACGGAAACGATTTGGTTCAGAAAATGCATTAGCTCTCTATTCGTTCACATTTTAACGGCTGTATTATTCTGAAACGTAATATCATACGTTAATTTAAAGTACATTTATTGTTGTTCTTTTCTGTTTGTGGAGTTAGCTAGCTAGGCTAAAACAGGGAGCCTCCGTTAGCAATGAGGAATTACAGCGACAGGAAGTTGCGGGATGAGCAATTTGACACGAGCGGGAGGAAGACGGGGGAGCGTCCGCCGCCTGTCACTTTTTCAAAACATGACATTGAATGAGTTTGCACTCCTTTAACACTGTATGCAAAATGCTGTGAGTCATTATGCATGAACCTCATATGATGTTGTAGCTTGAGCCTAAATATTTTAAATATATTTAAATTGTTTATGTGGCGCACGTCGTTTGATGGTCAACAGGGGGCACACTTTGCTAACAAAATGTGAAGTTCAGTCAAACGATCAATGGCGTGGTGGCTTTAATATATTTTTTTAGTAAACCCAAATACTCGTCGTAATTCGTATATTATATAGATTTGAGGTCGTTAAGATTTTTTAAAACGTGCTTAAAAGTAGGCCCTAGTCTCCTTATGCTGTATTGATCAAAACAACAGTAAAGACCGTAATATTGCAAAATATTATTATAAAATACCTGCTTTCGATTTTAGATTTAAAAAACGTAAATTAATCTTGACCTGACAGCTCAATTTTCAGCTAACAAATTCTTCAGTGTCAGAAATCATTCTAATTCTAAACATTTCTTACTATTATGAACGCTGGAAACAGTCGTGCTGCTTAATATTATTGTGGAAACCATGATATTTTAGGATGTTTTTTTGTATCTATCTGCACACAAAAAAAAAAAAAAAAAAAAAAAAAGGGTAGTGGTGGAAAGGATTTAAGAAATCTGTTGCTTCACTGGAGGATTGAGCTATAGAAACTGGATTAAAAATAATGAGCTCAATGCAGAAACATATGCATGGATGAATCATTCACAATAAGATCAAATAGATGCATTTAAAGATAGGAATTTCAAGCCAACTTTAACATCACAACAGATCTCCTTTTGATCACAAAACCAAGACAGACAACTATAAAAAGTAATGCACCTGTGCAGAGGAGCCCATCCCGGTAGTAGAGAGCATATACCCGAGCACTGTGTCCAATGAGAGAGCTCGTCTCAAAAGCATCCTCCTCCCTTAGCTGCTTCATGCGCAGTTTGGCCTTTAGATAAACACCTTTCCAGTGTGTCGCATCCTGGATGGACTCATCGATGCGCCAGCCAAGGTCTCGACACACACTCTGCCACACTTCTGTACAGGCATTGATTACTTTATTCCACTGCTTGCACACCAGACAGCAGGTGAGCAGGGTTTGGGGGTCCAGCCAGCGGAGCAGGTAGAAGGCCAGCTCTAACGGCAGCAGGCGCAGGAAATCCCGCTTCAGCAGCGCTTCCAGTCTATTGGACAGGTGTCGCAGTTGGGCGGCACCGCTCAGTGAGATGAGGTGGTCCAGCGATTGGTTGCGCTGCTGGTCACTTAGCGCCAGGAAGGTGGTGGAAACTGACTCCAGCCACCCCTCGAAAGCCGCCTTTTCCATGGGCACATGAGGGAGTCTACCTGTTGACACATAAACCGGTCAGATCAGACTAACTACACTGCATTTGAAAAGCAATGATGTGGGACAAACAGTGCCTTTTATACAGAGCAAAAACAATACTACAACAGCTACATCAAGAGCGATACAAGAAAAAAAAACACCTTCAGATTACATAATGGATGCAATCAAAGAAAACAACCACTTTCCACTGTTATGCAACCTTTGAGTAATGTTAATGTAATCTGCATTGCTTTAAACCGTATAAAAACAGAATGAAGAGGAACTAATTTATTTGAAGAACCAAAACATGACGGCAAAAGACAAGAGTGCTTCACAGACAAAAACGTTAGATCTCCATGATTACTTGGCTGACATGCTAACACAGCTTTCTGCACAGAAACTGACAAGCTGTCATGTAACTGGAATACAGCTCTCCGGTTTCCAAACACACCTGCTAAAACAAATTCACTAGCTGGAAGGCCAGAGACTTAATAAAACAATTATTTTTGGCTAACTCATTCTCAAGAACAGGACCAGTAGCTATTCAATAATATTTTTTCTTATTAAACCAAGCTTAATGGTAAAACTTAAACAGAGAAGACAAGAAACACTCACCATTTCCAGTAGAATCAGTGTGAGGAGAGCGCTAACGTTAGCTAGCCGCGCTAGCTAACAGATGTCAACGCAAATCGATATCGCTCTACAAAAGAGAAAGTTTAATTTCCGCAGCTGAGTGACAATCTGGCCTTGTCGGGTGACGATCTAATTTTAGCGACACAAAAAACTGTGAAACTCCCAGCTAGCTGCCGTTAGGCAAATCTGTAAAGTCCTGAGCTAGCATTATAACATACAACAATACGAATCTAACGGAAACGATTTGGTTCAGAAAATGCATTAGCTCTCTATTCGTTCACATTTTAACGGCTGTATTATTCTGAAACGTAATATCATACGTTAATTTAAAGTACATTTATTGTTGTTCTTTTCTGTTTGTGGAGTTAGCTAGCTAGGCTAAAACAGGGAGCCTCCGTTAGCAATGAGGAATTACAGCGACAGGAAGTTGCGGGATGAGCAATTTGACACGAGCGGGAGGAAGACGGGGGAGCGTCCGCCGCCTGTCACTTTTTCAAAACATGACATTGAATGAGTTTGCACTCCTTTAACACTGTATGCAAAATGCTGTGAGTCATTATGCATGAACCTCATATGATGTTGTAGCTTGAGCCTAAATATTTTAAATATATTTAAATTGTTTATGTGGCGCACGTCGTTTGATGGTCAACAGGGGGCACACTTTGCTAACAAAATGTGAAGTTCAGTCAAACGATCAATGGCGTGGTGGCTTTAATATATTTTTTTAGTAAACCCAAATACTCGTCGTAATTCGTATATTATATAGATTTGAGGTCGTTAAGATTTTTTAAAACGTGCTTAAAAGTAGGCCCTAGTCTCCTTATGCTGTATTGATCAAAACAACAGTAAAGACCGTAATATTGCAAAATATTATTATAAAATACCTGCTTTCGATTTTAGATTTAAAAAACGTAAATTAATCTTGACCTGACAGCTCAATTTTCAGCTAACAAATTCTTCAGTGTCAGAAATCATTCTAATTCTAAACATTTCTTACTATTATGAACGCTGGAAACAGTCGTGCTGCTTAATATTATTGTGGAAACCATGATATTTTAGGATGTTTTGATGTATCTATGTACCCACACACACACACACACACACACACATATATATATATATATACACACACACACACACACATGGTATTTTAGAGAAGCATATGTACAGAAAACGAAAAAAAACAAACCAATCTTTATTTAAAAAGAAAAAAAAATCATTTTAGAGGAGGTAAGCGAAAACAGCTAGAAAGCCTGTGGTGCATATGGTAGTATCCTCACAAGTCTAAATTCTGACCTTAGAAGTATTAATGAGACTAGAAAGATCACAAGAAATATATTTAGAAAAACAAGGTTCAGGGAAGAGTGCGAGTATTCAGAATGGCTGAGCATCTGTTGAATAGAGATAGTGTCTCTGCTGCATTTAAACACAACAGTCCCACCCTGCTATACTGATACCTACCACCTGCTGTTAACAACATGTCCACGGAGGCATGGCATGACAGAAGTGAGGTGACCCTGCATTCCAAGGCTGAGGGTATCTGAGCCCAAGCAGCCCATTAAAACTGATGGGCTGTCAGGTGAGGTGGCTGAGCCCAGATAGCAAGAAAGTGGAGATATCTGGTATAATCAGTCAGTGTAGTTCTCATATGGGTAGGAGGAACTCTGACAGACAGTAGTGTTTGCACATCCACAGGATGTATTTAGTATCATGGTTAACCAGATACATTTGACCATGTGCCAAGTATGGGATCTTGATTGTTTTGTAACTACATATTTAATACATATGCTAGTATAACAGTATAGAAGCAGTCAAACCAAAGGTGAAAAGGCATAATTCATGTTCTCTTTTCTGGTGCCTTTCATTATCTGTACCAGCTTCCTTTATTATTCATGATTTTCCATGAGTAAAATCTGGCTGGTTTAACTGGTTATTGAACAATACCATTCCATTGTGTTATGCAAGCAGTGAGGTACTGCCTGCCAGCTTGAACCTTTACATCTCAATTTTTGGTCCTTTTAGCCTGGAATCCTTTATACTGCATGTCCATTACACCATTTCTATTGCAGTGTGGATATTTGAAGCCATCAGGCAGAATATATTCATGAGCCTTGACTAAATAATAATACAGACATTTGACTGAGAGGAAAATTAGCTCCAATCTTAAAATATGATGTTGTGGCCAACTGAAAATGTATTTTCTTTGGTTTGATCATACAGCGTTGTTTCTGTTTCTAAACACAAATAGAGCAAAGGTGGTGATTATTAGCTAGAACATGCAATATTCAGGTGAAATTACTTCCTTTAGTGCTATGGCCCACCCACCATAAACAGACCTTAAGACATTTTTTTTCTTAAAAACGTTTTTTATTTAAAGAGACTCCATTAACATTTCATTAACATTACCCCATAACCACAATATTTCACCTACTGCAGTGTCTCTGTGACATTAAGACAAACTCAGCAGTGCATTTGCAATTGGAGAACAGATAGACCTTGTAACATTCCCAGATGGCCATATTAGAAAGATGAAATGTTGGGCTTAAAAAAAAGACTTTAACCAAGATGATTTTAACCACACCCGTAACATTAGCAGTAATCTAAATACACCAACACTTCAAACACTGCGGGCATGTGCAGTGCTGATGAATGCTGTATATGCTATTGGTACAAAATTAATCTCATACTTTCAAAGAAGCCAGAGGTGCAACACAATAGCTGTCTGAGAAGAGCATGTTTGCCAGTGCTGACTTCATCATATATACGCCCACACCATCACGACAGTCATATGCAATACTGTAGAAAATTTGCATTCTACATCACAAGGTGTACAATGAGGCTGCCTATGGGTCAAGCAAAGCAGGGGCATGTGAGTAAATACAGTCTCAGTATAATACATCATGGCTGCCAGACGTTAACTATCAGGTCTCAAGAATAAGCATGAGATTTATAAGGAGATTTATAAGTTTTTGTTTATTGTTGAAGATTGCTAATTTACATAGAAAGATTATATAAATAAATAAAGCTAGATGCATGTTGTTCAATGCCAGTGCTTGCTGAAGCCCCATGGAACGTTGCAAATGCATCTTCGTTCATCATGTAGTGAAGGCTAGACCAAAATCCAACTGGGTCCTATGACAAAGTCCACAGCAATATAATGAACTCATTCATTGGTGTTTAGAATATTTGAGTTTTACATTTAATAACACTGATGTGGATGCCCTCAAAGTCACTGTCCATATGAGTGTCTTCTTTACAAAACGGGCACTGAACCCATCAGACTCTCATGAGGTTTTTTACTGTACATCACTCATCCCAAATGAGTTCTGCAAGGGTTCACATTGTCTTGAGCGAATTTTGGATTTCCAGAGATGAGTGACTGACAGCTGATCCCCTCTTAAGAGCAACACCTACAATGCACTTGGCAGGTCCAAGAGATTGGTGACAGGTCAGTTTTCCTCTCACAGTGCCAGCAGGATGACATAAATGGACTGTATTGATTACCTAGTATATATATAGGAATGAAAAACAGAAACTTTAAATTCACACTGAGTTGGTACATGAATAATGAATTGCTGTAATTACAGTTAATCTAATTAGTGCTTTCAAACAGATGTAACTGTAAAGGCCTAAAGTGAATAATTTTAAAGGTCCTGACATTCCTTTAGAACAGTAAAAAAAGGCAGAGAGCTGATCATATTTGAGTTTCGACAGTTTTGACGAACAACCTTTTTTTTTTTTTTTTTTGCATTTTTTCAGTTTGAACTGAAAAGTATTGTAAAGTGTTTTTTTTTGTAAAGAACTGTATTGTATTGAAAAGTATTGTAAAGAATTGTAAAGACGTGCCAGTGTTGTAATGTTTAGCTTAAATTAAAACTATTAACAATTCTTTTAGGTACTTGAAAACCACATAACAAAATTACTCAAAGCTAACCCAAAACAATAAATAATATAACAGTATATAAATAATACTAAATTAACACTGATGTGCACATTTAGAATATTCACTGTAGTCAGCAGGCTGGTACATGGCTGTTTTCAGCATTTGGAAAATGGGAAATGGGACTCACTGAACGCCACTTTCAGATGGGCCTACACCAGGCCATCATAAAGGGAGAGTGCTTGTACAATAGAGGGGTCTGCCTTGGAGCCCTCCTGAAACTCCTGTAGAGTCAACATCCCATCTGCATTCTGTTGACAAAAGGAAGACACTTAGTCATAAGTCATGTCACTGTTTTCAAACACACATACTCGTATTAAGTGTACTGCATAGAGTTGGTGGCGGAAGATATGCATGGAATCAGGTAGAAAGACAGTTTTTAATGATGAATTCAAATCTCTTCTTTCCCTCTATAGCTGAGTGCTCTTTCAAAGGCTCTTTTATCAAAGCTTTCCAAAGCGCCTCTAGACAGTGCAATAGAGCTTCTATTTTGCGTCTTTCATGTGGCGTGCCTTCTGTGTTTCTAGTGCCTGACGAAGGACAGCCTTCCTGACAATCACAGCAGAAATAAGCCATTGTATTTAACCTATTGCTATGACTATTCAGTCATACGAAATGATGGGATTGGTTTGTTGTTTAAAAAATAACTGAAAATTCTCAGAGAGTTACTGCAATTCACTATAAATGCAGTACATTTTCTATACTTATTATTTGTACACAGGCAATGATTTTTGCAAGTAATGTTGTGTATGAGAGCAATGAGGCAGTGGAAGACAGTACACAGCAAATAAATACACAGAATTCACCTTATCCATCATAGCAAAGATGCGGTCGACTCTTTTCTCTGGTGTGTTTTCCTCCTCGGGTAACTCCACTGTGTTCCCCTGCCAGACATAAACAAGGCATATAGCAGGATAAGAAACAACCCCAGTCGGAAACAAATCATCTGTGTGTGTGGCCTATCATGGGGGTAAACAAATCCTGGGTGCCAGAAATGAGTTGCCCATTCATTTCTGTGTGGAAAATAAAGATAAATGTGGTTGTTTTTATATTTTCGCTCTTCAGATAAAACCAAAAACTTTTTTTTTACCAGCCAATTGAACAAAAAGAAAGAATGAATGAAAAGACTGCACTGAATACAAGTAATTCAGCTGACTGTATCAGATCGAACTGAAGGGAAAAAATTGATCACTGTAAGTGATACGGTGAATATAGAAAATATGGTAAATTATGTTCATTCAATAGCATCCAAGGGTAAAACACAATAGTTGGTAAAATTTAAAATTAAGTGTTGTGCTGTATGTAAATGGAGCTTCACAGTAAGTGTCTAAATGTTCATTTTAATGTATAATGCATTTGGTATCATTCATTAACAATGAACAATCATTTTTTATTTATCAAAGTTAATTTAAGAAAATTTTGTTTAGTATTAATTCAAGTTAGTTTCATTAAACAGTAACTCATTTTAATATACAAAACTTTGACAATTTTAGTGTCTATAAAAATTTGCAAGATTAATAAATGCTTTAAAACTACTGTTTATTATTAGTTCATGTGAACAACCTCATTATAAAGTTACCCTTTTTCCCGTACTCTTAACTTAATATTTAAAATATTCAAAGTAAAAGTCGACTGTAGACATGCACAGTATGTAAGATGTTCAGTATGTAATATTCCTCTGGTGTTTCTTATTTTATATACTGGGTTAAACATATATGCATATATTTGGTTGACAGAAAATGGAGGTGCACAGAAATATGTTTTTACTTTCACAAAAAGCCAAATCTCCTGGAGATGTCTTTTTGCTGTTCTCATAGAAATTAATGGGTAACTTTGATCATTTTTACCACACAGGTGAATGGGATCTCTTTGCCAACTGTATACAATCAGAACAGCAAGAAAACATCTTGTTTAATAAAAAAGCACCCAATGCTATTATGGAATGCCAATGCTTCCTGGAAGCCAGTGTTTGAAAAGGTATTCATTCTTTATCAATTTATCAAATCAAAGTTTGGCCTTACTATAAACACCATGTTGGCCTTCCAAAAAAGCTCTTTCATTAACTCAATAGAAATAGAAAGTTACGGTTCAGTGAGAAGCAAATGACTCACCACCATCTGGTAGATGGCGTCCACAATGTTCAGCATCTCATCTCGGGTTATGTAGCCATCATTATCAAGATCATAAAGTTTAAAGGCCCCTGTGACAGCAACAACAAACAAGCACATTAAGAAAACTCTCTCTCTCTCTGTAGTATCTTCAAGATCTTCAAGAGCTGACAATAAGTGCAGGTTCTCATTAGAAAAATGTTTAGACTATTTTACTGTTTATTTCGACATGCTCATTTTTCATTAGTCATGGTGATAAATGAAAATGAATCGACATACATTTACTACTACATTTAGTGTGGGTAACATCTGTTTTACTATTAGACTCTGAAATGTCTTCTGCAGATAAATGAACACATCTCTGTTGCACAAACAAACAACTTTTGAGGTACTGCTGACATTACAAGATATATAAAGCAATTCTGGTCTTACATCTGAGTTTTTCATCCAGCGTCCCTCTGGATGTGACAGACAAAGCTTGAATAAACTCTGAGAACTCGATTCGTCCATCCTGGAGATGCACAACAGAAAGACAGCATGAGAACTGATGGGTAAAGTGTAAAAAGAAGTCTAAAGGAATGACAAAAAGGGTTGATTTTATAAAGCTTTGTTACAGCCTCATATCAAACTGAAATGAATGAGATGGCAAACAACTGCAGAGTGACACAGCAAAAAACTGCAGTTAAATATGGCAGCAGCAGGGAAAGATTTTATCTTACCTGTGTTCATTACCATCTCACAGAAGGTTTTACATATTGGAAATGTCATTTTGACATAGTGATTCAAAAGTGTCTAAAGATGTGATTGCAGCAGACAGTCCCGCTGAGAATCTAGAAACATCTGAGTCTGAGAATAGTCTGCAGGGGCATCAGACCGGCAATGTCTGACACACACACACACACACACACACACACACACACACACACTGTTTCTTGTGTGTAATATTCATAATATTCTCTATAAAGCTTCTAAATGCCTCATTTTTGCTCAGACTTAGACAACAAATTGATCTACCACAAAAACAAATAAATAAATAAATACTGCAAATCTGTTGAAGCTGCATTTCTACAACTAAAATGGAAAGACATAATGTCCCTGTCGCTGAGTAAATGAAAGTGAATGGAGTGTTTACACATGGTATTTTGCTATTCAGCCAAACAGTTCTTCGGGGAGAGATTCTAGTGGTGATAATTTTCCAACTCAGTAAAGAAGATAATCAAAACATTTCTTGGTAAACTGCAACTTTAAAAAGACCCATTAGGCTAATACAACAGTGCTTTCCTTTTAATGACTTTTCCTTTTTTTAAGCCTCTTGTTACCTTGTTTTCATCAAAGACATTGAAGACAAAGGTGGCAAATTTGGTGGGATCACCGAAGGGGAAGAATTGCTTGTAGATCTTCTGAAAGCCAGCTACGTCCAACTGACCACTGGGGCAGTCTTTGATAAAACCCTTATACCTGCCACACATACAGGAAAAATCAAACAAGATCGGAGTGAGGAGGCAGGATTGAAGAAAAAAGAGAGACTGTAAGAATTTTGTATTTAAAGAATTGAGATTTTTATTTACTAAAGTTTTTGAAAATAATAAGATTTAGACATCATAGAAGATTATAGAACACACAAATATACACTATTTTTTCAAAGGTTGGGGTCAGTAAAGAAATTGATATTTTTATTCAGCAAGGATGCATTAAATTTATGGGGAACAAATTACAATTTTCAGCAATTTTCAACTGTGATAATGATTTAAAAAAATGTTTCTTGAGCACCAAATCAGCATATTGACATTAAAGACTGGAGTAGCTAATGGCTGCTGAAAATTCAGCTTTGCAATCACAGAAAAAAACTACCTAAAAATATTTAAAATAAATTAAAATGTTAAATTATAATGGCATTTCACAATTTATTAATTTTACTGTATTTTTGATTAAATAAATGTGATCAAAACAGATGTGGTGTACACAAGAACACACAAAATTTTGATTTTTCAAAAATGCTTACTGACACCAAACTTCTGAACACTGATGTAGAAGAAATGTATAAACTACCAGTGGAAAGGGAAGTGGGGAAAAAAATAAACATTTAAAGAGGTATCATATGCATTACGCTTTTTCTCCACCTAAAGTCAAAACACAAGACATTTTTCCTCCAGTATATACCCCCCTGTGAAGATAAAGAGTCTGACTGTGGCACCAGCTGTTAGCACCCAAATGCACTGCTAGCAGTGTTACAGACCACGTGGTCAGGGTATTTCAGGATAAATGAAACCTCTGTCACTCTATCCAGCAATTTTCAGAAACAACACATCAGCGCTGTTTGTTTTCTGTATGCTAATTGATCCCTGACAAATCTGAGAACTATCATTGCAGATCATTTCCGAGCAATTCGAGGCAAAGGGCGAAATGGTTGCCCAGGATATTACAGGGCACGTCAGTCTTCAATTGCAAATTCATTTCCAGGCACATCAGTTTAGATTCTGCATTTTAGACCTCATTCTAGGAATCTCTCTCAGTATTTGTGGCCCAAATTTGCTAGCTGCAAGTTGTGTGAACTGAACTATCTGAAATATTGAATACTGATACCAGTACCAGTATGAAAAAAAAACTAATTAAAAACAGTGACAAACTGAAAAGACAATTTTCTGTGACTATATAGAATTTAGTCATTGTACGAAATGGCCCTCACAATCATTATAAAAATCTCCAGCATATGTTGCGGTTAAAAACAACAACACTTAATTAGCTAATCATTCATTACCTCCTCAGAGGGGCTTTTTCCTCCTCAGAGAAAGATTTTTCACATTATGCTAATTTACAGTAGCTTGATGACAGAATACTGACATGGCCATATGCGCAGCACAATTTAATAAGCAACTTGAGTGCTTTAAATAATCAAAACTAAATAGCTGTTATCAGGAAAATATTTTAACTTGTTTTTCAGATGGACACTTTTTGGGAAAGTATGCTATCATTTGTCATACACTACTATCATATATTGTTCACAAAAATGTTTCAGAAACAAAAATGTTTAAATGATGTTTATTGAACAGTTGTCTAGAGTACTTAATTTGATTTCCATATTAGATTTTTTTCCC